GTTTTCCTAGCAGTGATCTATTCATGGCTGTATTAAAACACAGACCACACAACACAGACAGACAGACAGACAGACACACACACACACACACTCTATGGAATATTACTGTAACTATGTAAAGGTGTGTTACATTTGTTTGTGCTGCATTTGTTTAACTATGTTAAAGATGTGTTGCCTTGCCTGCCTAAGGCACCTGATTGGTCTAATGAGAAGCTGAATGGCCAATAGCTAGGCAATAGAGAGATAGGCGGGGCTGGCAGTCAGAAAGAATAAGTAGGAGAAGGAGTCTAGGCTCGAGAGGAGAAGAGAGAGAATGAGGGAGAAAGAGAGGGAGGTGCCTGGGCCCAGCCAGCCAAACACGGAGAAAGCAGAAAAAGTAGGACTTATAGAATGAAAGGAAGGTAAAAAGCCCCAAGGCAAAACATAGATAAATAGAAACAAGTTAAATTAAGTTATAAGAGCTAGTGGGACAAGCCTAAACTAAGACCGAGCACTCATAATTAATAATAAGTCTCCATATCATTGTTTGGGAGCTGCTTAGCAGCCCCAAAAGAAAGCCTGGTAAGTACAGACACTCATGCATGCACATACATGCACACATATGCATATGCACACACTCATATGCATGTACACACTAAGAGGATTTGAAGAGCCTAGCTTGTTTCATTTCTGATCATGTATTGAGTCTAGTGCTTTATCTTGGTGTGAAGGTGCTCTGAGTTTCATTTCAAAGAGCTAGCCGAAGACTCTACCAAATGAAAAGGCCAGGATTATCTGGATAAATTCCAGACATGTTCTCCTGCTTGAAAAAAAAAAAATGCAGGGCAATCCTTGTGTAGCACTGGCCCTGGAGGACAGAGCAGAGGATCCTGTTCCAGAATGTTTCACTTTAGAGCAGTGGTTCTCAAACTTGGGCACACAGCAAGATCACAGGAGGGTGTTCTAGAAGAGAGACTGCTGAGCCCACTGGTGGGGGTCCTGACTCAGTGGGTCTGGAGGCAGACCAGAGAATTTGAATGTCTGGGAATAATGCAGATCTAAGAAGCATATATTTGAGGACAAACTGACCTAGATACTGGGTGGGAGATACTGTCCATGTCAAGCAGAGTAGACAGGGAAGTGTCAGAGCCTGTGAGTCACTATGCCAAGGGGAAGAGGGGCCAGAAACTGAAGAGCAAAGTCAGGTTTATAGGCAGTGTGGTTGAGCTGGGCATCTGAAAGGAAGGTATAGTCGGGGTTCTCTAGAGGAACAGAACCAGAAGAATGAAACTGTATTAAAGGAATCGATCACATCAGCTTACATTAAAATAGTAACAGCCATTGTCTCTCACCCGAGAGCCTGAAAACCAGGTAGTTGCTCGGTCCTTGCGGCTGGATTCTCTGTAGTCAGGGTAGTCTCGCAATGGCTGTCCTGCACTCCAGAGGCTCACAAGCCGATAGTCGCTCAGTCCACAAGGGTTCCGCTGTGGAGCTCTGTCTGGTCTGGAACTCACTATGTAGACCAAGCTAGCCTCAAAGTTACAGGGACCCCGTTGTCTCCTCCTCCCGACTTCTGGGATAATATGTGCCACCAAGCCTGGTCCCAGTCACAGATTCATTGCCATGATAAATATCTAAGAAAAGTTATTTAAAAGAAGGAATGATTGGTTTCGGCTTTATGGCTTCGGAAGTTTTAATCCACGGTCAGTCAGATCGATCGCTTTGGGCCGGAAGTGAGGCAGAACGTCCCGGCAGCGAGAGGGTTGCAGAGGCCGCTCTCTAATGGCGCCTGGGAAGTGGATGGTGGGGTTTACATCAGTGGACCCCTCTCTGTTTCCCTTCCTTCCATCAGGCCCTGCCGCCGCCCATTAGATGGTGCTGTCTACATTCACGGCAAGTCTCCCCTCTCAGTCCCTGTCCCACATGTCAGTTACCTCTGCAGACACCCTCACAGACACACCGAGGAGTGTATCACTCATTTCTCAGGCTTCTCTGAATCCAATAAAGTTGACCATCAAGATTAATCATGGGAACAGGGTTGTAGACGGCCATCTACGAGAATCCCTGGGCCAGATCCAGAAGGTAACTCACTTCTGCTAAAAAAAATCCACTGGCAGTCACGTGATCACATCAAGAAAAATCTTGTTGACCAGCTAAGCCAGTCTCTGCCACATCCAGATGAAGGAAAGCAAGGCATTACAGTTGTTCCAACTAGGTCAACGAAGAAGGTTCATTTAGAAACCAGTAATGCCACTGAGTGCTGCTGCTGCCGCTGGTGGCGGTATTCCTTGTGGGATGTCTTGTCATTGCACTGTCGCTCCTGTAGGGGGAGGGGGAGCAAAGAGGGCTGGACCTAGCCAAGGAAGGCAGCATGCTTACCTTTTCCTGTGTGTGCTTGAGCCAGGCTGTGCACTCTCCCTCTCTGAACTAAACCCTCTCATCTAAAAATATCACATCTAGGAATGCAGCCGCGTCTGGCTGCTGTAAAGGGAGATGGATGTTTTCTCCATCCAATAGCTTTTGAATGGACCCATTCAAAATATCCTGGACGGGGAAGTCTGTGCTTCCAACGTGGGCATGCCTTTCTTGCTTTGGGTGTATTTTTAGCATTTGTTGCACTGTCTGGAAATGTTAATTGAGAAAGGCTACCGCTAATCTCTTAGCACATTCGGGGAATATCTTCAAGGCTGACACAACTGTGTGTAAGAGGTTTTTAAGGTGCTGGGGCTGAGGACTGTTCACTTTGGAGAAACGAAGACAAAGTGGGATTATAATCACACATGGGTGCGCATGTGAACACACATACACACACACACACACACACACACACACACACACACACACACAAACATCTTGATCAATTCTGCTTAGGAGAAAGACTCTTTGTCTTGAAAAACAATCTGAGATTGATTTAGGAGTCTGATTCCCCAAAAGCATGCAAACCACAGAACAGGTCTAAAATTTTTTTTTTTTTTAAGAAGAAAACATTTGAAAACAAGAATCACACCACTGAACTAATTGAGGGATACCACAGTTAAGGAAAAGTATGATCTAAACAATGTCAGTGTGGGGAACAGGAATGTGACTTTATGATGGCGTCACAGCAAATATACTGGTGACAGATGAACTTTTATCATTTTTTTTGTTATCCTTTTTAAGTTTTAGTTATTATTTGCAGATGTTTGTGCTTAGGGGAGGAGTGATAACTGGTTCAAAATATTGATTTGCAATTGCATAAAAACATCTTAATGAAATCGGTGTTCTTTTGAAGTAACCACCTAAACACCAGCAACACACTTCATGGCAATTAAGTGAGAACTCAGTCGCTCTAGGTGCACAATCTTCTCTAAGACTAAAAAGAGAATAGAGTGAGTGAGAACACAACCTTCCAGAGTTCTCTAAGGAGAGAAAGGAGATGGCACACATGCGTGCCCCTTAGATATTTACACGGAGAGGTGGAGATGTGCTGGGGTGAGGGATGGTTTGACGTTTGAGAAGCTCTCAATCCCAGAAGCACTTTAAAATCCCCTGGGAAGCCGGGCGGTGGTGGCACACGCCTTTAATCCCAGCACTTGGGAGGCAGAGGCAGGTGGATCTCTGTGAGTTCGTGGCCAGCCTGGGCTACAGAGTGAGTTCCAGGATAGGCACAAAGCTACACAGAGAAACCCTGTCTCCAAAAACCAAAACAAGCAAACAAACAAACAAAAAATCCTCTGGGAGCCAGAAGATACTATGTGCCTAGGTTCCCTGGACCTCTGAGGTGATTACATCCTGAGAACACTGTACCAGGAGATAGCGTCTCCTGCTTCACTTTCTGCATGGAGCCTCTGCGAAAGTAGAAGATGGGAATACACAAACCAGGACGGGACAGGGAGGTGGGGTGGGGTAGCATCACCAGCCCCCTGCAGTGCTACACACAGCGCAGCCTGGACCTCAGCCCCTGAGCACAGTACCGACTTGGCCTTCTCATCCTCTCTCTTTTCACCATGCAGATCTCAAAAAGTTTTATGTGCTGGGAGCCGAGAGTCTCAATTGAGGTGTCTCAAATGAGGTGTGACCACTGCCCTGTGGTCAAACCTCATGCTCTGCCTCTCTTCAGTGTGGTTATCAAACTGGGATGGTTGGTCCCTCCCCACAGTTTCAGGGGACCTGTGCCCAGGGACATTCTCCATTTATTTATTGATATCACAAATATATCCATTTTTGTATGCTAGGCACTGCTGATTTATTTACTACCCAGCCTGGGCTGAATAAACACATATTCAAGGTCCCACACTCAGCCCCTCAGGTTAAGAGGCCTGCTCTCTGATGAAGAGGAGTGACTATTGCTATTTCCAGAGACTGGCTCATGGAGTATCATCTGCTAATGGGCTGTGGCAAGCTCACCCGATACATCCATGCACAAGACATAGAGGCTGTAGCAGGTTAATGTCACCCAGTGCCACTCAGGGATAAAAAACCTCTGTGAGTTAAAATAGCAGCTAGGAAACTCTTCAGCTATACCATCCATTTCTTCCAGGCCATGGTTTCAAAGGACTTTGTGACTTGGGAGAGTTTATTGGCATTGAACTGGTCCCCAGGATCATGTAGAATGGCTCTGTCCTGTAGCAGAAGTTTTCCTATGTCCCGTCCAGCCCCTGCGGTCCCACAGCCACTTACAAAATAATCACTCAGAGGCTTAACATTAATTACAAACTGTATGGTCTATCACTTCAAGCTTCTTGCTAGCTAGCTCTTACATCTTAAATCAACCCATTTCTATTAATCTATGTTTTGCCACATGGCTGTGGCATTACCAGTCTGCTGGCATCTTGCTTCTCCTTTGGCTTTGGAGGTGGCTGGTGTCTCCTCTCACTCTCCTTTCTTCTCCTGTCTCTTCAGTTTGAATGTCCTGCCTAACCTTATTCTGCCTTGCCATAGGCCAAACAGCTTTATTTATCAACCAATCAGAGCAACACATATCCACAGCATACAGAAAGTATTCCAAAGCACTCTCAGGGAAACTGTTTTCCATCTCTGCAGATAAGGAGACCAGACAGGCCATTGAAATGGCTTGCAAACAGGCGAGGGTCCATTTTGTAGCTCATCAGAGGAAGGGGAACTTGGAATGCACCACAGGTAAATCATCTTCTGATTGTTGCAACCCACAGGTAACACTGACTTTCAAAGTTGTTCCAAGGTGAGTCTACCTCCTACATAAAGAAATGACTCTCTCATTCTTTACTTCCTGTGTGCACTGGAACAGAATGCCACAGGTCGGGTAATGTGCATATGCCTGTGGAGACCAGAGGCTGATGTTGAAAGTTATCCTCAGTCACCCTTTCATTGAGACAGGACCCCCTCGAACCTGGAGGTCACCCATGGCTAGTCTCCCATCTTGCTCTGAAGAGCCCACAGGCAGGACATCATGCCCAGCTGGCATTTGTGTGGGTTTCGGAAATCCAAACTCTAGTCCTTACCCTTATTTGGCAAGCATGTAAACCCATAGAGCCAGCTCCCCAGTGTGGATACTAACCCAATTAAGGAAGGAGAAACCCTCATAACCTAATCATTTTTTACTCTTATTACATTTGTAACCCATCGATTTTGAAGGAAATCCGTTCAAACCACAGCATCTCGTGATATGATTTCAGGGTTGATGCCTACAATCACAACACGGAGCTCACATTGTTTTCAAACACTTGGACTGGTCTATGGCTCCTGTCTCAGTATCAACCAAAACAATGAATTCCTGAGAATGAGGTTCTCTGAGTCAGGCTGACTCTCTACTCTTTCAGGCCCTATGAGCTCTCCGTATGTCAAGATAAATCAGCAGAAAGATTTGGGTCTGGACCACATTAGCTAAATTCCCCAAAGAAATACCCTCACTGAGTTATGATTTAATAAACAACTTGCTCTTCATTTCTACCGCAGGTCAGTGTAAGACACAGCTGTGAGAGAATCATTTCTACATCAGTGTAAGCTGCTTTTAAGTTCGTATTGTCATCTGTATAAAAATCAGTTCAGCAGCAATGCTCATGAATTTATTGCAGGAGAAAAGATGTCCCTTTTAAGGAACTGTATGGTTGTGAAACAGTGACGCCCAACACACTTCTCCACTTCCTAGGGTAGCTACGAAACGTATGGTCCTGTTTAGCGTTTTTGATACCATTCTCTTTAAGCTAAATCTCCAAGGTGTTAATCCTGTCTCCTTTCTAGTCTCTAACCACTGGCCTACTTTAAGGCTGACTCTTATAGTTCTCATGTCTTCTCTCATACAGCATTAATTTTGGAAGTGCACAGGGGCATGCAGGCATGCTCCTGACTCCTAGACTCAGGGGTTTCTCATTTCCTCAAAGGAAGGCCTGGAAAGAGCCAGGTGCAAACCGGGCATATTTTGCAAGGGTGTGTAGGGCCTCCCACAGGAGTCTGAGCCTACGAAGCCGGCTAGAGTGGGAGGTGCTAAGCATCTAGGGAAATTACCATGTGAATGGGGAAGCCAAGAAGCCAAATGTACTAACGTGGCAAAGCACGGGAATGTTAGACACATTCATAGCTAAGTATCTATTAAATGACCAGCCTCGACTTAGAAATAAGCAGATTACACATATGTCTCTCTTATAAATGTGACAATTACCGAAAGACTCGCGTATTTCAAAGTCATAGTGTTCTTATTATTGATGAGTTTGTTTTCTGACTATTATCAAATCCAAAGGAAGAGGCCGTGCCAGGATTGGTTCTACTGAAGCGTTTTGCCAGGCCCCTTGGCTTTGAGTAGTCCTAAGCGGACTTCTGACTTGGTGCCCAGTGGGGAGGTGGCCAAGCCCTTCTCTGATTTTAATAACACCTGGCTCTTTCTGTAGGAACGGTGGTGGCTGCAGGTGCGTGGCTTACCCATCAGAGAGATTCAGTCTCTGTAGAATTTTCATTCCTCAACTCCCCATGGAACCAAAATAGGTAGGAAAATACTTTTAAACACACCTTGAGCAAAAAGCAACCCTTTACTTTGGACCAGAGGCAGGATCTTCCGGTGGGAGTTCATCTCGAAAGAAATGCTCACACTGATGAGAGATGGGTAAGACAGGAGCAGAGAATGTCAAGAGCCATGAAAACCAAAAGCTAAGGTCGGGACTTGGGGCTTATGAACAAAGGGAAATGGGAGAGAAAAATAATTGCTGAGGGAATAAAGATGCTGAATAGGGGTATTAATTTTTATGTCATCAAAAATTAATACAAGGAGTAGAGTCGTAATTCAGTCAGTAAAGTGCTTACCTTTGGAGCATGCGGACATAAGTTCAACCTCCCAGAACTCACATAAGAGGAGCCAGGTGTGGTAGTGCACATTTATAATTTCTGCTCTGGGGAGGTGAAGACAGGGAGACCCCTGGGGCTTTCCGGCCCACCAGCTGTCTTAGTCATCGTTCTATGACTGTGAAGAGACACCATGACCATAGCAACTCTCTAAAAAGGAAAGCATTTAATTGGGGCTTGCTTACAGTTTCAGAGGGTTTAGTCCATTATTCTCATGGTGGTATGCAGGCAGACATGGTAGCCATGAGTTCTACATCTGGATCTAAAGACAGCAAGAAGAGAGAAAGAGCTACTGGGCATAGCTTGGACTTCAGAAACCTTAAACCCAGTGATATACTTCCTCCAACAAGACCACACACACCTCCTAATCCTTTCAAATAGTGCTACTCTCTGATAATCCAGCATTCAAACCACATTACCATACCGGTAATCTTAGCCTACTTAGCAAGCTCCAGGCAATGAAAAACCCTATCTTAAAAAAGGCATAGGTAACACCTATGGCACCTGAGATTGTCCTCTGGTCTCCATACACACACACACACACACACACACACACACACACACACACACACACACACACAC